TTAACATCTTTGAATCACCCTTTTGTTTCCAACCCCTTTCGAATTTTCCCCACTTTGATGTTCCTCCCCTCTGAAAAACCCGAAGTCAGCTAAAGGACCGGTGATAATGATAATTATCAAAACGCCTGCTATTGGATATAAATAAATAAATTTTATCACAGATCAGAAGTCATTAAAATGGGACAAATTAAATGAATTTTTTGAAAATAAATGGCCATTTTTACCGTTATTTTTTTAGTTTTAGAAAGGTTTAGAATTCTGTTCATTAAGCAGTGTTCTACGTTAAATCAGAAGTCAAATAATTTATGATACTTTATGCAAAATGAGAATGTGCACCTAGGAATTGAATAAAGAGCAATCTCTTATCACATCGTTAGTTAAGGGAATTCTAAAAGGAAAAGAAAATATTTCAATCACGTGTTGGTTTAAAAAATGGTCAATTTTAGATAACAATTAAAAGAAGGAAAATTTGCGATCTATTTCATCCAAATTGCAAATAGATCTTTATCAAAACTTCGTAAGATTATCTTTATTCAGTTACTTCATTATTCATCAAGATTTTTTGTGTATAATTCTTGCTTGCTTTCATCATATTAATTTTTATACAGAAAACCAGCTTAATAGTTACTTCCCATGTTATCATAACGCCTGCCATTTGATATAAATAAATAAATATTCGGCAAGTTACATTTCTTGAGTTTAATTACCAACCCTCAACCCTTCTAATCCAAACGATTATTAATTAATACTTTTAGCCAACTCGCCTCCTGTTTTATAATTACTGCAGAAGTTGATAAGTAATAAGTGTTTCTTAATTCCTTCCCTAAATTGAAAAAAGACATGACGAAAGAATTTAATAACTTTTTATTTTTCATAAATGCTAAAATAGATAGATAGATGTTTAAATTAGGATGACTAAATCACTGTTTCATTGAAATTGAAATATATCGCTTTTTCTGAATAAAATAATTACGCTATCAATTTGGCCACAATAATTCATCTGATATCATTCGGCATTAGATGGCTCATCTTGTCGTTTTAAAGGTGGGTTACTAAAATATAAAAATATTTACTCTTTAAAGCTGCTTTTTATTAGTATCCATCACATTTCAATTCATGCAATAAATTATCTTTTTATTTCCGATTTAGACTCTTTAATCAAAATAAAATTTTTATAAATTAATAAATTGAAAATAATAGTATTTTTGACCAATAATAAAGACTTTGATGCCCTTATTGAATTTCGAAATTACTTTAACCTTGAGAGTCCAAAATAATCGATCTGATTCAAAGGTCTCGTGAATAGATTATAATCCGTTGGTTAGTTTTCTTCTTATTCTTGATGTAATCTCCTTTTGAGAATGATTTATAATCATATTTCTTTATGTTCTCTAAGTAGCTTGGGTTTTGAGCTAATTTCTATAATAACCTGGTGCCTTAGGTCTATCCATTTGTTATGGCCCATTAACTTAGAAATTATTTTATTTTCTATTTGCCTTAACTAAGTCCTAATTTATTGTTGTCTCTTATAAGTTTCGGATTCATTTTTTCACTTTTATTTCCATTTTTCTGTGCACACCTTTTCATTTACTCGTTACTCTAATTTTTAGATAAATTATTTTAATTCCTAAATGGAACATCAGAACCAAACAAATATTGTCAGGCTCGTTGTAGTTGGTATTGGTGGTGTCGGAAAAAGCGCTCTCACTCTCTTTTTCATGTATGATGAGTTTGTGCAAGATTATGAACCAACTCGCGTTGATTCTTATCGTAAACGAATAACTGTTAATGGCGAAGAAGTCAATCTCCACATTTTGGATACCGCTGGCGAGTTAAACGATTTATGGTGCTTTGATTTCTCTTATTGGCTTTTTTGTAACTGGGTTATTTCTGATTTTCTAGGCCAAGAGGAATATGCCGGTATGAGAGATTCTTTCTACCGCAACAGTGAGGGATTTTGTCTAGTTTTCGATGTCACCGATCGACAGTCTTTCGCTTCCATCACTGAGTTTATGTAAGCAACTTCTTTTTCTTGCAGTATGCCATTTTCCTTTTTTTCGCCTTTTTTGTGGGTATTTTTATTTTTTCAACCCAATATTGCATTGTCATCATCATAGGTCATCTTCGAATTTTTTTGTGGGAAACTGCACTCAACTTTTACTCTCCGATTATTTCTTATACCCAATCGGTATAACTACTTTTGGAGTTCGATCATTTTTTTCGTTAAGGGATATCCGCTTGCAATGGTTATGATCCTCATAGTATCTAATTAGAGAAACGACAACCTTTCCCAAATCAGAAGATCGAAGGCAGAGTAATATATAGGAAGTGTGAAAGAAATGAATAAAAAGTTTTTGAGCTAGAAATGAACATCAAGACAGTGTAGAAAAGGGACTAAATTGCATTGCGCTGTGTTTTGCTTTCTTGGAACGACCAATAAGGTATTATCATTGGACAGCTAGACTAGTACACATATATGAGTCGATTTATGCATTCGATTGGGCGTTTTGGAGCCTTGTGGGAACTTTTTCCATAATTCTTCTCTATCTTCGAACTCACATTCCAGTGGTATGGAACCCATAGTTATTACTCCAATTCTTGCTATAGTATGTTGGTAATGTGTTGATGCTGTACTTAAGTAGACTGTGAACTTTGGTACATAAACTGCTTGCGGTTGCTGTAAAAATAGTCTATATGTATATAAACTTGGCGCCCTCCTTCTCCACCTAGTTTTGATTCTCTACTTGTAGACTTGCAAATGGGCTTAGTCACCATCTTCACCGCCGATTCATGATTACCTATTTCCTAGGCCTTGCGTAGGTGGCCTAAAATGGAAATTATTCTTTCTGCATTGCAATTTTATCTTCATTACTTTCCCAAAATTACGGCTAGTTATACTTCCATACTATTAGTTCGAATGCCCTCAGTGCCTCACTAACTGTTGGAAGGTTTTAAGTGGTCATTTTTTATTCAAGTTCCTGATTTTCAACATTAATTTTCACTTTACTTGATCAGCTCTCTAAACAAATTGTTGTGTTCTTTTGTTAACCATTAATGCATTTTTTAATTGAATTTGGAAGTCGGATAAATTACTGGTTGGCTGTTTTGATCAGCTTTCAAGTCTGAGTGTAGACGCCTATAAATCAATATTTCAGTACATGAAGAATTGACTTAGAATGCTGCACTCCTAGTGTGCTCGATCGAACGCACCGAGGATATTCAATTTGGGTTTCTAATACACCAGTCCTAGACCTTGTTCCATCTTTTTGCTTCATCTTTGGTATTGGAGTTATTTCAGTAGTTTGCTTGAAATCCATATACTTAAAACCTCGTGGTATAATTCTAATAGGTATAGCCTCCCACGCAAAATTGGAAAAAGGAGAGAATGTGTGGTACTTACGTATATATTTGCATTTAGAACTGTAATACCTTAACTTCTTCTAAAAGGCGAGTCTTGACGCAAGCTTTTCATGTGATGTGAATTCTTATTAAAAAGTAGCTATGTTTGTAGGCATCACCAATCGCGCATATGACTCATCCTCTTCCCTTCATGTGTTTTTGCGAATATTTTTATAATAATTATAATTTTCAATCCCATTCAACACTCATATTTTCTGGAAACTTGGAACAATAGAGACACCCTAGCGAGAAACTCCATATTGGCCAGCCCTAATCAATGCGTCTAGCCACCTCCCTTCGATTAGAATCGAGCCTAGTGACCTCTGACATGGCAGACGTATGCTACTGGCGCGCGCATGTTTGTATTTTAACTCGTTTTTTTTGCAACTGGTAGCTTCTTTACTATGAACTCCTTAAAGGCATGTATAGATGTGGATGTTGCGGAATGTGTGATTTTCTTGAACCCAATTTATGCTTGCTCAATTGCCATTTTTGTTCATTTAATTCCAAATTTTAACTAAACCACGCCTGGCTCATCTTATTTCGCCTTAGTAAGGAGTCAATCCATCTGTATCTTTTGATCACTCTGTTGTTCTCACTTTGATTTGGTGAGCCATCATCATCATCTGTAGCTGCAGCAGTATATTTACATTTCCAGCACTTTTTGCGCTATTGTTCTCTCATTGATTGTGCTTGTAAAAAAGCGCTTTGTTAGCATTTGAGGTACATGCCTTTTTTGTATTTTTTTGGCGAAATGGGGTGATCCAACGCATGTTTTAACTAACAGAATCGGGTTATATCTACGTACTCGCTAGGTTATCCTAACCGCTTGCGTATTGGAAAATGATTTACAAGAAAGAGGTGAGTGTTTAAAAAAGACTTTCCTTAAAAGGCTTGGTAGTCATCAGGTTAAGCTGATCCCCAAATGCTTATGTGTCTCAGTTACATTAGAATTAAACACGTAAATTTTAGTGCTCACTAGCTTTACGTAACTTGGTATGAAAGTCACTATCAGAGGACTTTTGTTTGTCTGTTTGTTCTTTTTTTAACTTTTACTCATTATTTATATTTCTTTGGCTTTGAGAAAGTTATTATTATTTCAAATGGCAGGTTTTGTGATATTTATCACTAGTCCTTAAACTTTGACTTCAGCTTCCCCCAAGGGTGGAAGGGTGGGGACATTTATAGCAGTTAATTAATAGCAGACATATATAGCAGTTAATTAATAGCAATTCATTAGCTGTCTTTTTGCTTCCCAGTATCTCTGTGTTTCCGTCGTTGTCTTTAGTTGCTTCCCAGTATCTCTGGCTTTCCGTCCTTGTCTTTAGAGTGGGACACCGAATCAGGTGGGTCTTCTCCATTTCCTCTTGATGAACACCGAATCAGGTGGGTCTTCTCCATTTCCTCCTGTATAGAATCAGGTGGGTCTTCTCCATTTCCTCCTGTAGGTTACAGATCAGATGGGTCTTCTCCATTTCCTCATGTAGGTTACATATGGTGGGTCTTCTCCGTTTCCTCCTGTAGGTCACATAGAGCATGTGGGTTGAGTGTATACTCCCAATCTGTGAAGATGTCTTGCCAAGCAATCGTGTCCGAGACGTAGTCCAAACTAGATTCTTGCCAGTCGGGTATGTCGAAGAGTGCCACTGTCCACTGTTTCTTCTTTATTCGAGTTTTAAGTTGCACTTTGAGGTCTGGAATTCTCTTCAGATTAAGGCCTTTATTGTGTGGAAAGACATCTGTCGGTCCATGCATTGCAAAGTCGTTATCACCTTCTTAGCAAGTGAGTCAGTAAACTCATTGATTTAATGCCACAGTGACCAGAAATCCATTGCATTACCACTTTTTGTTTTTATCTCTCAGCAGCAGATAGAGTTTTTTACATTTCTTTATCTCAGCTGTTTTGCGTGGCTCTCCGCTTTCAATTGAGTTTATTGGTGACTGTGAGTTCGAAGCTATCACCGCTTAGGTGAATTTCGTGTCTAGGCAAAACAATTGGCATAGTGCTATCTTAATGGCCTCTATTTCTCCTTCAAAAGCGAATATATTGTGTCCCGCCTATTTTATCAATATTGACTAGCTCAAATAGCACATCATACCACAATTCAGGATTTTGGGAGCATAATTTTTAATGGCATCGGTGTATGCATTT